AGCTTGCCCACCATTTCCTTCACCATCAATGGAGTTTCATTTCCTCTGCCTCCCTCGGCCTACATCCTCAGCGTATGTATTATGGGTTTGGAAGGGATGAGCTCCTCTGACGTCTCTTTATAATCTGATCGGCAGAGAGGAGAGCCAGGATTCTTAGCCAGTAGTGGGACTGTGTGGAAATATTTCTGATGATATGATATCGTACAGTGCAGTGCACTGCAGTGCCACATAGCTAATCACTAGGAGAGGGAGAAAAATGAGCAGATACAGGCAAAAGAGAAAAGGGATGTTTCCAGTTGAGACTGGGCTTGAGATGGAGAATCAGTGAAGAGCAGGCACAAAGAGTTAGTTCCAGACTACAGGACTCGGGGCTGCAAAGAATCATGACAGGTGGAACAGAAGAGTAAGAATAACAGATTTCTTTGCACCCGATCCTCCGCTGGTGTAAACTGGTATAGCTGAATGGACTGCAATAGAGACTTTAGATAAGCTATTACCAGCAGGACAGTGGGGTGGGAGGGGGTATTGTTTCATGGTCTCTGTGTGTATATAATGTCTACTGCAGTTTCCACGGTATGCATTCGATGAAGTGAGCTGTAGCTCACGAAAGCTCATGCTCAAATAAATTGGTTAGTCTCTAAGGTGCCACAAGTACTCCTTTTCTTTTTGCAATAGAGACTCTGACTCCTTGTTTATATAAAATAGACATTTGTGGGCAGTTCAGATAAAGCAATGGTGAGTGTGGTATAAATACCTAGATTGAGAGATACTTGCACTTTTGCCAACCGCAAGCATATAAAGATCATGTGTGAGGCTGTAAATATAATGAAATGCACTTACAAATCCTGAGATCTTTAAACCAATACATTTTGGGTGCTTTTTATTTGCCTTTGAATTCTGAGCCTTTAAGACACATTTGCTTCACTTTTTCAAGCTTTTCTTTGCAACCAGGAGAACTAGAAATGTACTTTAGAAAAAAAAAGCTTAGACTCTCATGCTTTCTCCAGATTCCAGCAGCTGGGGCTTTAAAATCCCCCACCCATATTGAGAGAGTTAGTTAGTTACGGAGCTAGATGGCTGGAAGGATGGATACAAGTGGCCAGGTTGTATGAATAGCTAGAGAGGAGGCTGATGCTATGCAAACAGTGGGTATAAAGAAGGCAGAAGTTTGAGATCTTCTCCCCTTGTGTGTTTGGAGTATGTGGAGCCCCTTGTAGGTGCTGTGGCAATATAATAAATAAATAACTTGTCAGGCTGGCAGCAACAAACCTGTGGCGCATTTTACAGATGAGGGGGGCAGCTTTGAGCTGGCTCCTGCAACGAAGCGGGTGTCAGCAGAGCTGTATGGGCCTGGGGACGCTGCAGTCCCGTTTTTCTTCTCCTTACCCATTGTGTAACAGCCCAGCCTGTCACTTGCATTCTCACAATCCCCACAGAGGGCGCTGAAGTAGGGGGGTGTTTACGCGGGTTGGATGTAATTTGTTCAGTTTCCCATCCACCTTGTGCTCATGATGCCCCAACCCTTCTGAGCCTCATTCATCATGTCCTACCTCCTTGGTTCACAGAACAATGGCTACTGCTCCGCTGGGGTTATGCCCACATACCTGCCCTCCCAGAACGGGCAGTCCCTCTGGATCCTGGGAGACGTCTTCCTCAGGCAGTACTGCTCCGTCTACGACATCGGCAACAACAGGATCGGTTTTGCCACCGTTGCTTAGACACCCTGACCATCACTTGAGCTGGGCTGGGCAGCTTGTCTGTTTTTTCCACATGCTTCTGTTCCTTTCAGTTCCTGTGGACGGATTCTTCTGAACTAACCTTCCTCTGGGCTCTCTTTTTCTTTCTTTCAATCAGTAATAATAACCTTTGCTGCAATAAATTGTTAAAATCAATGTATACCTCGAAGTCTGTCTTGATGTTCCTGCCCAGGGGGTGCGAGAGAGCAACACCTATTGCTACAATGCTCAGGGTCTACCTGTAATGGTCCTGCAAGGTCAGATAACAGCAACCAAGCTGACACCCTGCATCTGCCACAAAACGTTTGGGGGAGGTTATTGGGGTCTCTATAGCTTCAGTCTCTCCATGCTGCAAGCTCCCCTTCCTTTCCCTTTCATGCTCTGCCTCAATGTACCATCTTCTCCCCACCCCGTGGATCTTTGCCACCCTGTTGTCTGGAGGAAGGAGACTCTGCTGCCAGGGTCTCATCAGGAGGCCAGTGAAGAGTACAGAAACCTTTGCTTTGCTATCACAGATCAATGATCACTTCCCTGAGGCAGCAGTATGACGCACAGAATTGCTTTAAGACCCCCTGCAAACAGCAAAGTGTTTAAGCCCATGCTAAAGTCCCACTGAGGTCCATGTTCACGCCTGGGCTTAAATACATAGCAGAATTGGGACCTCAATGCAGAATTGAGCTGCAAACAGCTTGCACAGCCTCCTCGAACACCTGAGCAGTCGCTGATTGTTCACTAGCCTACGGGAGTGTTTGTTGCTTTTTCACAAATACACAGGAATAATCACGAGCTGTTCCTGAACATTTCACTAACTGTGCCCAAAGCACACCCCATTCGAGCGCACGCATGAATGTTTTCATGAATCGTTCATGTATATTTGCAAATAAATTGGAGAGCAGAGCGGGGCAGAGCTTCATGACTTGACTCTGGATTCGAACGTTCCCCAAAGTTTGGAGGTATTGGAATCCATCCCAACCTGCAACCCCACATCTAGATGTTGCAATGTCCAGATTTTGTCCTATAGAACAAATGGAGATGGTGATAGTTGTAGGCAATGCCTTATGTAAGGTGACATCAGTGCTGCTATATTGCCATCTAGCGGTCTAACTGATACTCTAGAAGTAAGAGAGACAAGGTGGGTGAGGAATTATCTTTTTATTGGGCCAACTTGTGTTGATGAGAGAGTAAAAAATATCCCCCCGCTCCTTGTCATTGTAATATCCTGGGACCAACAAGGCTGCAACAACACCGCATACAACCTAGTGGCTGACGAGAAGTAATCCGGACAGCAAAGACTGCAATACCAACCTGGGGAAGCTGCAGACAGTTGCAGTGAGATCTGGCCCTGTAGTCATAGCAATATTTAGGGGAAAGATAAGACAAAAATTCCTTTAATTTCACTGGGGTGTGAAACTGAATCAGGTGACCAGAAATCCAACACCTGATGCTTCACATGATGGGGAACTCTCCCAAACTGCTCTCGGCCAGGGTTACACATGGGAGGAGGAACGTCCTTCCAGCACCCTGCAGTGATCAGTTTAAAATGAGATCTTATCTGCATAATGATACACATTAATATTGGTCATAAAAGTAGCCCAGCCTTTAAAAAAAAATCTAACCACTGGTATTTGACTCTATTACCTCCTATGGCATGGAGTTCCAGAGGCCAACTACACATTATAGACCAGATTTCATAGTCAAAGAATCAAAAGTCTGGGAAGGAACCATCAGTTCATGTTGTTTGACTCCTAGATAGCACAGGCCACCATTGGGTGACCAGATGCCCCGCTATTAGGTGCTTTGTCTTATATAGGACCCTGTTACCCCCTGCCCAATTTTTCACACTTGCAAGCGGTTCTCAAACTTCATTGCATCGTGACCCCCCCCTTCTGACAATAAGATTACTACATGACCCCCCAGGAGCAGAGACCAAAGACCGAGTCCGCCCGAGCCCCACCACTCCGGGCATGGAGGGGGGGTAAAGCTGAAGCCCAAGGGGGCATGTATCCTTAGCCCTGGGCATTGGAACTTGGGCTCGAGACTTGCTGGGGCCCAGGGCCAACACCAGCCTTGGCGATCCCATTAAAATGGGGTCCTGACCCACAGTTTGAGAACCCCTGCCATAGGCCACCAACACCACCCACCCACTGAAATTAGACCACACGTGCTGCAGGTAGGGAACAGGAGGGACTGAGGTGCGCCCATGTCCGAGGCTCTGCAACGGCAGGGAAACGATTCGAAAGAGCTCAGCACCCACTTAGACACCTAATAAAATACTCAGGCCAGGGCTACACTACAGACCTATATCAATATAAGAGCAGCCGCCAGCCTGTGTCTCTGCCCCCCAAGGCACGCTGCTGCTGGTGGGACCCAGGAGCGGGGACTCCAGTCCGGCCTCCTGACGCCTTCCCGGGGGCTGCAGACACGCTCTGCGGGGAGAGGAGGCCCTGCCCTGGCTGGGAGGCAGTGGGGAGCCCCAGGAAGGTCACAGGCAGCAAGGAGCTGGACAGGGAGGGCTTTTCCAGCACAGTTCCCACTGCTACTGTCCCAGCCTTAGCGGCCACCGTGCTCTGCCCAGGCTCGCTCAGTGTGTGCACCCGGCTTCTGGCCGCCCACTGCCAGGCTGCCCCCCCACCAGGTCCCTCCTGCTCTGGGTGACAGGCTGCCCTCACTGCCGGATGCATACTGTGGAAACAGCCTTTAAGTTGCCACCAGACTCCTCGTTGTTGTTATTAAGTGTTATTATTATTTTATTTCATACTGCGGTCGCACCTAGGAGCCCCGGTCTCAGATCCGACCCCCCCCCTCTGTGCTCGGTGCTGTACAAACCCCGAACAACAAGAGGCCTAAATACCTCTTTAAACTTTCCCTGTATAAATCAATCAGGGGTGGGGGGGAAATATAGTAACGATGAAACATTTAAAAGAAAAGTGATGTGTGGGTGTGGGTGTGTGTGGAATGAAATAAATAATTAACAAGTCAGGCCTCTATGCTGCGGGGTGGGAGGGAAGAAAAAAAATGCCAGGGGACAAGGACAAAACTACAAGTCCCAGCATGCAACGGGCGCGGGGGGTTTGCTCTGGGAGGGCCAACCCCGGCCCCGCGGGGGGGAACTACACGCCCCGGCATGCCCCGCGGCCGCGGCGTGGGGGGGAAAACTACACGCCCCGGCATGCCCCGCGGCCGCGGGGTGGGGGGAAAACTACACGCCCCGGCATGCCCCGCGGCCGCGGAGTGCTGCCCTCTTTTGGGTGCCGCGAGGAAGCGGGCGAGAAGGTGCCTGACAGCGGGAGGGGGGGAGCGCTGCCCGCCCGGGGTCCCAGGGGTGACGAGCCCGGCCGGAGGCGGCAGCGCGGGCGGCGCGGGGCGGGCGGCAGCGGCCGGAGCGGGCCCCCCCGGGGGAAGCGGCCGGGTGCCCGGCCAGGCGCGCGGGGCCGCCGGGACTTGGAGCAAGTTGGGGAAAGTCTGCGGCGGGCGCTGACCTTCACGGGAGGGTAAGTGCCGGGGCGGGGGCGGCTGCGGGAGCAACACAGCCCGGGGGGGGGCGAACGCAGCTGGGGCGGGGGGGGACACTGCCCCCCCCCCCCCCCGAGTGGGGCTGGAGAGCGGCCCTGGACCCACAACCGGCAGGGGGGGCTCCCTGCTCGGGGAGGGGGCGCAGCCGGTGGGGGGGGGTGCGCATGGGTCTGTAGCCGCTCAGGGAGAGAGGGGGCAGGCTGGACTCCGGGGCCAGCCCCAGGCACGAATGGGCAGATGGGGGGGGGAGGGGGGCGCACACACTGGACCCGGTACCAGAACCGGGGGCTGGGAGCTGAGCGCAGCCGGGGGGGGGCGTTGCCCCTTTCCCCCAGCACACCCCATGGCTGTGGGAGCGGGGAAAGCAGGAGAGGGGTGTGTGTGTGTGTGGTGGGCGGGGGGGTGTCTGCTTTCGCAGCCGCGCACAAAGCCGATTAAAAGTGAGCCTCCTGCATCTTATGTAACTGGTTACGGTGGGAAGCCAGCGCTGGTGCGCGCGCGCCGGGCCGGGCCGGGCCGGGCCAGCCGAGCTTTGTGCTGGTTCCTTTCGCCCTCTGGAAATAACTCCCCGGGGCTTTCTTTAAAGACGGACTCAACTTTGGAAAGTCCTGCCCGGTGCTTGAAACCAGCTCGCGAAGCCCTGCAGGGAGGAGCTTCCAGCTGTGATTGATCCTGGCCAGTGTTTGGGGCATATTGGGTGGCCAACTCCCTGGGGCGGGGGGGGGGGGGTTGGCGTGTGATGGCAAGTGGGGCGTTTAGACTGAATCATGACTCAAGACTCAGTGCTCATCGGAGAGCCCGGCTGGCAGCGGGCGCAGGATGGGTGCAACAGCACGGCGTGCCTTGAACGCACTCTGCAACCAGGGCCTGTGCTTTGTTATTTACGATCTAAGGACCGAGCGCGGGCGTTTGGTGCTGCAGGCTCGACACCAGATGTTTATAATCTGAGGCCCTGATCCTGCCCTTGTATCTGGGAGGCGAGCGATGCCCGTGCAGATCCCGTTTCAAGATTAGAACCTTGAACACACGCCCCAAACCAGAGCCAAGGGGCTGTTAGAGCTGTTTTTTAAACCCGTGAGTTCATTATTAATAGCATTCATAATCCTAATTTAGCACTGCTATTACCCTACTGTTTTATTCACATTGTGGTAGCTGCAGGCACTTTCCGGGCACAAAGGAAGATACACTGTCAGCCTTAATCTGCCTGCAGTATTAACATGTTTTCAAAACATGTTGCGAACCTTAACTAGCTAGTGCTCACCAACCCCTTCTGAAGTAGAAGGCCCCAGTTCTGCTTTGGGATCCATTAGTGTGAGCCCCTATGTTTGTACTAAGAAAAGGAGTACTTGTGGCACCTTAGAGACTTAACAAATTTATAAGCTTCCGATGCATCCGATGAAGTGAGCTGTAGCTCGCGAAAGTTTATGCTCAGATAAATTTGTTCGTCTCTAAGGTGCCACAAGTACTCCTTTTCTTTTTGAGAATACAGACTAACTTTAGGGACCGAATGGCTAGGCAGCAGTTCTGCGGAAAAGGACCTAGGGGTGACAGTGGACGAGAAGCTGGATATGAGTCAGCAGTGTGCCCTTGTTGCCAAGAAGGCCAATGGCATTTTGGGATGTATAAGTAGGGGCATAGCGAGCAGATCGAGGGACGTGATCGTTCCCCTCTATTCGACATTGGTGAGGCCTCATCTGGAGTACTGTGTCCAGTTTTGGGCCCCACACTACAAGAAGGATGTGGAGAAATTGGAGAGAGTCCAGCGAAGGGCAACAAAAATGATTAGGGGTCTAGAACACATGACTTATGAGGAGAGGCTGAGGGAACTGGGATTGTTTAGCCTGCAGAAGAGAAGAATGAGGGGGGATTTGATAGCTGCTTTCAACTACCTGAAAGGGGGTTCCAAAGAGGATGGCTCTAGACTGTTCTCAATGGTAGCAGATGACAGAACGAGGAGTAATGGTCTCAAGTTGCAGTGGGGGAGGTTTAGATTGGATATTAGGAAAAACTTTTTCACTAAGAGGGTGGTGAAACACTGGAATGCGTTGCCTAGGGAGGTGGTAGAATCTCCTTCCTTAGAGGTTTTTAAGGTCAGGCTTGACAAAGCCCTGGCTGGGATGATTTAACTGGGAATTGGTCCTGCTTCGAGCAGGGGGTTGGACTAGATGACCTTCAGGGGTCCCTTCCAACCCTGATATTCTATGATTCTATGGCTGCTACTCTGAAACCTTTGCTTGTACTGATTGTCATTGACTTCAAGGGTTGTTAATCCCCATTTTATTGGTGGGGAAACTGAGGCAGGGAATCCATATTTGCTGTTGCTGCATCTTGCTGTTTACACCAGTGTAGAGTGGATGTAAAATGCTGCCCTTTTGATTTGGTGTGGTTTTCATATCCATGATGCGCTGGTGTAAATGACTCCACAAAGTACAGGTCAGCCGTGAGTTGGACCCAGGTCACTCGATAAGCAATTCATTGTGTTAGTGTCAGAGATAAAACGCAGGGATGCCTGGCTTCCAGTCTTGCGCTCTTAGTGGTGAGAACGCACTGTGCCAAATTCAGATTGGGTGCAACTACAGCCTCTGATTAATTCATTGTGAAGCAGGAAGGATTGCAACAACCCTCCGGCATGTTTCCTGATTCCACTGAACCTCAGCAAGTCAGATGATGGGGAAATTTCCCTTTAAAAAAATGTGTTTTTTTTTATTACTGTTTCTTTTAAAATGCAACAGATTCTTCATGTGACCAGGGTGCTTCTCCTTGAATTGTTTGCAGTGATTTTGGGTTGCTTCTTGCCTCTCTGAGGGCCTGGAGACTTTATTGAAGAGAGTTGAACAGATGGTAGATGGTTAGCTTTTTTGCCTTTTAATTTCCTCTGCCTTGTTTATTTGAGTTCATGCCACAAGGCTCCTGTGCGTGGGGGCTTGGAATGGGGATGCGTGGAAAGATCCCTGCTCAGTGCTTCTCTTTGCACTTTTTGTTTATGGTTGCTGGATCTACACCTAAACATGACGCACGTGCGTGCTCTCTCTCTCTCAGGTGGGTGGATCTAGGAAATAGCAGTAGTGGCTTGCTTTATTTCCAGAGCATTTGCCTCTCAGATTCAAAGACATTTAGATCAGGACCACTAAGGCCCGGATCCTGCAATCAGATCCATGTGGGCTGGACTTCCATGCTTAGGGCTCTGGCTGAGTGGATCCAACTGCAGGATCAGGGACTTACTGGTCAACTGATTACTTGTACGTATGTAGAGTTCATGTCGGTGAAAGGGGCTGGATTGACAGCCCTGCAGGCTAACCACAGAGCAGGCAGCAGGGGAAAGCCCTATACTTGTAGGGCTATGGAGTGACCATTGTTGAAAGCGCTTTAGGTTTTGGGAATAATCCAATTGGACAGCAGAAACTATGTGACTTAGGTGACCAATCGTGCAGGACCAAAAGCAAGCGATGAATCCCAAGTGCTTGAAGCAGTAGTCAGGGCGCAATCCTTAGCAAGCGGTTCAGTGACGTGTTTAGCGGTTCAGTGACGTGTTTAGTGCAAACGCAAAAAAGGGGCTGAGCTCTTGCAATGAATTGTTAAGAACATAAGAACGATGAGACTGGGTCAGACCAATGGTCCATCAAGCCCATAGTCTGTCTTCTGACAGTGGCCAGTGCCAGATGCATAGAGGGAATGAACAGAACAGGACAATTTGTCGAGTTTCCCATCGTCCAGTCCCAGCTTCAGGCAGTCGGAGCAGAGACAACCAGAGCATGGGGTTGCACCCCTGACCATCTTGGCTAATAGCCATTGATAGACCTATCCTCCATAAACTTATCTAATTCTCTTTTGAACCCGGTTATACTTTTAGCTTTCACAACATCCTCTGGCAATGAGTTCCGCAGGTTGTGTGCTGTGTGAATAACTATTTTTGTTTGTTTTAAATCTGCTGCCTATTAATTTCACTGAGTGACCCCTAGTTTCTCGTGTTACATGAAGGGGTAAATAACACTCCATGCCATTCATGGTTTTATAGATCTCTCTCCCGTTCCCCCTTAGTCATCTCTTTTGTAAGATGGAGAGTCCCAGTCCTTTTTAATCTCTCATTGTATGGAAGTTGGCCCATAGACCTAATCGCTTTTGTTGCCCTTTTCTGTGCTTTTTCCAATTCTAACATATCTTTTTTTGAGATGGGGTCACCAGATCTGCATGCTGTATTCAAACTGTGGGCATGCCATGGATTTATATAGAGGCATTATGATATTTTCTGTTTTATTATCTCTCCCTTTCCTAATGGTTCCTAATATTCTGTTAGCATTTTTGGGTTCTGCTGCACACTGAGCGAATGTTTTTCAGAGAACTATCCACATTGACTCCAAAATCTTTCTTGAGTGATAACAGCTAATTTACACCCCATCATTTTGTATGGATAGCTGGGATTGTGTTTTCCAATGTGCATCACTTTGCATTTATCAACATTGAATTTTATCTGCCATTTTGTTGTCCAGTCCTCCTCTTTTGTGAGATCCCTTTGTCACTCTTCACAGTCAGCTTTTTGAACTTATCCTGGGTAATTTTGTATTATCTGCACACTTCGTCATCTCACTGTTCACCACTTTTTCCGGATCATTTTATGATTATGTTGAACAGCACTGGTCCCAGTACAGATCCTTTGGGGACCCTGTTATTTACCTCACTCCACTGTGAAAACTGACCATTTATTCCTACCCTTTGTTTCCTGTCTGTAAGGACCTTCCCTCTTATCCCATGACTGCTCTCTTAGCTTAAGAGCCTTTGGTGAGGGACTTTGTCAAAGGCTTTCGGAAAGCCAAAGTACACTATATCCACTTAATCACCCTCCTCCACATGGTTGTTGACCACCTCAAAGAATTGTGATAGATTGGTGAGGCATGAAGAAAAGGAGTACTTGTGGCACCTTAGAGACTAACCAATTTATTTGAGCATAAGCTTGATCGAGGCATGATTTCCCTTTACAAAA